GAGGACAGGAGCAGAATTCAAAACAATCTTAACAGAGATGATTGGCCAAAATTAACTAAATGAAGTTCAACAGTTACAAATGCAAGATACTCCACTTAGGCAGAAAAAATGAAATGCAAAGATACAGAATGGGGGACGAGGCCTGGCTCGAGAGCAGTACATGTGAAAAAGATCTTGGAGTCCTTGTGGACAACAAGTTAAACATGAGCCAACAATGTGATGCTGCAGCTAAAAAGGCAATGGGATTTTGGCCTGCATCAATAGGAGTATAGTGTCTAGATCCAGGGAAGTCATGCTACCCTTCTATTCTGCCTTGGTTAGACCACACTGGAATATTGTGTCCAATTCTGGGCACCACAATTCAAGAGAGATATTGACAAGCTGGAATGTGTCCAGAGGAGGGCAACTAAAATGATCAAGGGTCTGGAGAACAAGCCCTATGAGGGCTTAAGGAGCTGGGCATGTTTAGCCTGAAGAAGAGAAGGCTGAGAGGAGATATGATAGCCATGTATAAATATGTGAGAGGAAGCCACAGGGAGGAGGGAGCAAGCTTATTTTCTGCTTCCCTGGAGACTAGGACGGAACAATGGCTTCAAACTACAAGAGAGGAGATTCCATCTGAACATGAGGAAGAACTTCCTGACTGTGAGAGCGGTTCAGCAGTGGAACTCTCTGCCCCGGAGTGTGGTGGAGACTCCTTTTTTGGAAGCTTTTAAACAGAGGCTGGATGGCCATCTGTTGGGGTGCTTTGAATGCAATTTTCCTGCTTCTTGGCAGGGGGTTGGACTGGATGGCCCATGAGGTCTCTTCCAACTCTATGATTTTAAGTTTGTTTGTTTTCCCCCCCCCCCCCCCCACCCCCCCCCCCCCCCCCCCCCCCCCCCCCCCCCCCCCCCCCCCCCCCCGCCCCCCCCCCCCCCCCTCCATTATTCGTCATAGAATCATAGAATCAAAGAGTTGGAAGAGACCTCATGGGCCATCCAGTCCACCCCCCTGCCAAGAAGCAGGAATATTGCATTCAAATCACCCCTGACAGATGGCCATCCAGCCTCTGTTTAAAAGCTTCCAAAGAAGGAGCCTCCACCACACTCCGGGGCAGAGAGTTCCACTGCTGAATGGCTCTCACAGTCAGGAAGTTCTTCCTCATGTTCAGATGGAATCTCCTTTCTTGTAGTTTGAAGCCATTGTTCCGCGTCCTAGTCTCCAAGGAAGCAGAAAACAAGCTTGCTCCCTCCTCCCTGTGGCTTCCTCTCACATATTTATACATGGCTATCATATCTCCTCTCATCCTTCTCTTCTTCAGGCTAAACATGCCCAGCTCCTTAAGCTGCTCCTCATAGGGCTTGTTCTCCAGACCCTTGATCATTTTAGTTATGCTAAGTCCGGGAATGTATCATCCGTGTATGTGAGGGTTATACTGCAATAATAAAGAGATTGAGAAGCAAGTGTCAAAATGTGGCTACCATCAAGAGCATCCTATACAAGAGATAAAGGTGGACTATGCATCACAGTTTCCCAAGCAGGCATTGACAGTGGCATGAAGGAAATGGATAAACAGAATTATGGGTGACCAGTTTCCTAGCATTGTCGCTCACTGGGAATCCTGCTTGTGTGCTATTACTATAATACACCATGGATTCAGGAGAGATGAAAGGCAGTCCTTCACACAATGGATAATTAGCATTGGGAAATGGCTGCAAGCAGAGGTGTTGACAGTTCCTGGCATAGGATCAGACATATTCATGTAGGAATTTAGACTAACGATGGATATTAGCTGTTACAGAAAAATGCAACTAAAAGATTGGAATGGCACTTGGGAGGATTTGCAGATGTTACTGGACTCAAATCCAGTGAGCCTTCATTGCTGGGAATGCTGGCTAAGTCTGCTGGGGCTAGTGATGGAAAGAATATTCGAAAATATTAGAAAACTGGTCAAAAAACCAGTTTCTAATATCAAGTGTCAGTCAAACAAGAAACCAGACTCTACAAGAACCTTCACATTTCAGGACTATGGTGTGCAAGTTTTTATCAATGGCATTTTCTGGATAGGAAGTGGAGTTTTCTGCTCAGAAGTAATGTTTCCGTTTCACAGAAAGTATTATTAAATGTATTTTCACAGAAAATGCTATTTCCAAAAAAGTAGGCCTCTACTTTTGTGGACATTAAAGGATGCAGGGCCCCTGTAAAATCTGAAAAACCACAAATAAAAATGCTGTTTATTTTATTTGGGAGAAAACCTCTCTAGGAATCTCTAGGTCCTTCTGTGGGACTTTATGGTCAATGCCAGCTCCAGGTTTACTACAGAATTGCATGGGAGGAACATTTTAGAAAGAACATATTTATCAAATCATCGAACAACCAAATCCAAATAAAGGATAAAGCAGCACATGTGGAGGTCTGACTGTAATATATATTATTTTCCATACAAAAAAGGTTTTCTTGTGCAGAGAGTGTTACTGTATCCACAAGAAATCTGTAAATTCTGTGAAAAACTACTGAATTTTCTGCATAGCAAACAGCATGTTTTGCAGGCAGAAAATGCACATTTTTATGCAAAAACCCTTATGTAGAATAAATCCTGATTAGTTTTAGAATATTGTGCAGTTTTTGAAAAAAAACCTTATTTTTTACTTATTTCTTATCTCGAGTCCTGAAGGGAGTGGGTAAGAATTTTTTTTTTGTCGTGTCAGGAGCAACCGCTCAGTTGTGAGAGAATTGGCCGTCTGCAAGGACATTGCCCAGGGGACGCCCGGATGATTTCTGATGTTTTATCATCCTTGTGGGAGGCTTCTCTCATGTCCCCGCATGAGGAGCTGGAGCCGATAGAGGGAGCTCATCCGCCTCTCCCGGGATTCGAACCTGCGACCTGTCGGTCTTCAGTCCTGCCAGCATAAGGCTTTAACCCACTGCGCCACCGGGGGCTCCTGGGTAAGAAATAAAACTATTATTATTATTGGGTTGTTATAGGTTCTTTCGGGCTACCTCTGAGTATGCTTGCCATAGATGCAGGCGAAACGTCAGAAGAAAATGCCTCTAGAACATGGCCATATAGCCCAAAAGAACCTACAACAACCCAGTGATTCTGGCCATGAAAGCCTTCGACAATATATTATTATTATTATTATTATTATTATTATTATTATTATTATTATTATTCAAAATAAAATTAGTGAAGGATTTCATCCCTAGATGGGATCTGCAGTCCAACAACATCTGGCAAGCAACACAATTCCCACCCCTGTAATTTATTTATTTATTTATTTACTGCGCTTATATACCGCAATTCTCAGCCCTTTAAGGGCGACTCATTGCGGTGTACAACATAAAAAACAGGTGCAAATTACAAGACATAGTGCAAAATAATCCACAATCATYATTATCAGAAAAACATCTTATCAAAACATCAATATACTACAAAATTTCTACTACATTCTGAATCGTCTCATCGTCAAACCCACAATCCGATATCATTTCCGTTGTTCCATTCCTATGGTCAAATTACCAGTCATTGCACTTCTTGATCAAATGCCTTCTTAAAYARCCAGGTCTTTAACTTCCTGYKGAATATYARCAGGRAGGGRGCTAGCCTGATGTCCAYGGGAAGGGTGTTSCACAGCYGAGSRGCCACCACCGAGAAGGCCCTATCTCTYGTCCSCGCCAGCCGWGCCTGTGACGCAGGCGGGATCGAGAGCAGGGCCTCCCCGGAAGATCTCAAAGTCCTCGTAGGCTCATAGGCCGRGAGGCGGTCAGTTAGGTATCTTGGGCCAGAACCGTTTAGGGATAAATAAATAAWTAAATAATAATAATCATAATAATAAATAATGGATAAATAGAAACAATATGTACCATAGAAACTGGTGGCAACAGCAGGGAAGGCTGTCACGTTATGTACATGAGACTAGTTATCTGCAGATTGATACTGCAGTCTGACAAATGTGTCCTCTCAAGGCATTTTCTAGAAGCTCCATGTGATCCTATGGTACAATTCCATTTGATGCTGACCACAGAGATACAATTAAGAATGTAGAGACGCCTAGAGAGATCTCTTTCTTGGCATTTCCCATGGTATGCTTCCATTGGAAGGTCTTATAACATATTCTCCTTGGATATATGAGTTATATAGTACTCAGAACAATCCAAAAGGCTTCTTCTGCAAATAAGTTCAGCATGGAAAGCTCTTTTTAAACTCAGACCAGCTCCTTTGAATGTCCCACTAACTTGTAAGATACCAGCTGAACTGTTCACGGACTTCCTAAAGGCTCTTCGCTGGGTCTTTGTTTTGAAGTAACAAAGTTCTTATATAGTCAAAACACATAAAGGATAGCTGAGAAGACATTTATTTATAAAGCTGAGAACCATCAGTATGCATGCATGTATAATCCATTGTACTTGAGAAATATCATAAAAAGACATGACTCGTTGGAAAAGATAGCAGCCCTGTTTGGAGCAAGGAAAGAGGAGGACCACAAGACTGGCAGATGAATTTAAACAAGGAAGTATCAGTCTTAAATTTGAAAGGCATGAGCAGTGCTGTAAATAGCAGGATCTATTGCAAGTCCCTCTTTCACAGTATCCTCACATCTGAAGGCCTACGAGTGTAGTGGAAATACCCATTACATACCTTACAGTGCATCTGTGGACATTTTGGATCCATCGATCCATCTATCTATCTATCTATCTATCTATCTATCTATCTATCTATCCATCCATCCATCCATCCATCCATCCATCCATCTATCGAGCCCATGAGTTCCTGGGATTGCAAAACATCGCAGGGTGTGTGTGTGTGGTCCACAGTCTGCACACTGGCCACCACTGCCAAAAGTTGAAGCCAACTTGAAAACACATCACAACGTCAGCAACATACAATCTGAGTCAGATCTGGATAATTCCCAGAAAATATTGTTGACTTTGAGTAGGGTAGGAGGTTAGGGTTGACCAGGAATGACAACTACTGGAAGGATTTAAAGTTAGTTGACCTCTGCAGTTTAAGTGCTTACCAATGGCACTGGTGAGAAAGGACACCACTTCCGATTCTTTCCCGTCGTTGTAAAAGGCCAGGTGCCACATTCCAGAATCCAAATACTGAATAAATCCCGTCTCATGGCTGGCCAAAGGCACGACGCCCTTGTGTTGCCGCTGAGGACCTTCCAGGCTCCTGGCCTCCTGAGTGAGAAGTCGCCTCCCATCAAGTAATTCCACAAAGTCAAACTGGAACAAAAAGAAAACAGGTTTGAACTGGTACATGGAAAAAATATGGAAATTGATAACTTGAGCGCCTTAGTCAGGTTTGGTAATTCCAAGCTAATGAATTCTGTTACAAGCAAGAGTTGAATGAATTTTGTGGAAATGAATAATATTTTATTTTTCATTAATTGCATTAATTGACATTTGGGTTTGAATTTCCTGCATCCATATGCTGAAAAAATAGATACATGTGGAAGGGTGCTAATGCGAGAATTATAGTTTTGGGCACAAGGGCGCTTGCTACCAGGAAGTTCTTCCTAATGCTTAGAATACCTTTTCCTGGAGTTTCAATCCATTGCTCTGCATCCTAGCTTCCAGAGTATCATAAAATAAATCTGCTCCATCTACAGTGTGACATCTTTTCAAATATTTATACATGGCTTATCATGTACTCTCTTAACTTTATCTTCTCCAGGCTAAACATACCCAGCTCCCTAAGCCACTCTCCACAGGACAGGTACAGGCAGTTCCTGGGTTACTAACATCCACTTACAAATGACTCATAGTTAAGAAATCTACCCCTTCGAAGGGAAATTCTCTTCTGAAAGAGTTATCGTGGTGGAAAGGTGTATCCACTGAAGCTTTCCCACCAATCCTTGCTTTGACAAAGAGCCAAATGTTTCAAAATCCAATCACCACAGGCACAGAAAGTGAGGTGAAATCTTCTGAACAGGGGCACAGGCAGCAAGACAAACACCACAGGAGTGTTAAACCTTCCCTATGCTATCCAAAGCATACACATATGGAGTTACACTTTAAAAAATATACTTGTTTTGACTTACAGACAAATTAGTTTAACAAAACTACAGAACCTATCTATTTCACAACTTGGGGACTACCTGTACTTCTGTATTCCTAAAGGCAGAAAGCTGAGAAATTGTGTGGTCAAAGGCTTTCATGGTCAGAATCACTGGGTTGCTGTGTGTTTTTCAGGCTGCATTGCCATGTTCCAGAAGCATTATCTCCTGACGTTTCACCCACATCTTTGGCAGGCATCCTCAGAAGTTGAGGGGGAGAGAATGCTTCTGGAACATGGCCATACAACCCCCAAAATGCACAGCAACCCAGTTGAGAAATTCCTTCTCTCCCAACATCACCCCAAAAATGCTCAACCTTGAATTATATGTTTGGAGGATGTGAAGCAACTCCTACAGCCATCTAATTTGTGGGGATGAGCATGGAAGAAAGGGCCTTTTCTTCTTTCGAACTTCATACCTGAAGCCTCCTGTGTTTTTACCTTTGGGGATAGAGGACCAAGTCTTCTGGAGGACCAAGTGTTCATAAGGCTGATGAACACTTGGTCCTCCAGAAGAATGACTGTTTTCATCACATTTCACACCATTAGGCTAATTAAGTCTGGTCTGAACTAGATTTCGAAAATGTACTATGGACTGGTCCCCAATTTTGTCTGAACCATTCCTAAGGCAGAACTTGTTAAATTGTTTTTGCTTTAAAAAATTTTGGCTTTTGCCTAAAACAAAATTTTAAATTATATTTTGTTTTTTATTTTGTATGCCTTCAATTAAAAAGAAAGTAGCAAATGATTGGTCAAACACTTAACACACTTTCATCTATGTTCCTGAGAGTCAAATGTTGCTTCAAGTCAAAGAAGTGGCCAACAATTTCAATATGATCTCCATTCTGGAAATACCAGGAGGTATAGTCTTTCTCTGAACTTCATGTTTAGGAGGAATGCACCATGAGAAACCTTACCTGTGTATGTGAAGGTGGGAGGCCTTTTCTGCCATAGATCCCAACCAGAGCAGACTTTCCTAATGAAACGTTGAACTTCAGATGCACTGGGTGGTCAATAAACACCTGAGATCTCCAAAAGATTCCAGGAGGGATCTTCTGTGTAGTTCGCCTGCCAACGTCAATCTCTCCAGTGTCTATAAAACTGTCTTCTGGAAAGAAACTACTGGGTTTTCCTGCTGAGATACCAAAAAAGGAAGAAAAAGAAAAAAAGAAAGTCTTGGACTAGGTTGCTACTTGCTACATCGGTGCTGCCAATCATAACAGCATAGGAAATTTATCATATTCCCACTCAGAAGATCGAAAATATTACCTTTTTTTTTTGGATTTCAACTACAACCTACCAGGCTGGTTATGGGGCCTTCCCAAGCTTGACTTGTGTCCACATTAATAACAAAGCCACAAGGTCAAAGGGATAGTTTAGTTTAGATATATGCCAATAAATGCAGATTGCTGAATGCAAGGACAGGGTTGGTTAGAAGAGCTTTCTGCCTCAAGGAAACATCTAGCAGATTTCAAGGGAAGGATATAATTGCTCTAGTTTAGATTTATGCTATTATCAAGATAATGCTGGCCATCCTTTTAGTACAGATACACATACACATTAGTTAGATGGTTTTCTGAAGCTGGGCTGTTCCTCTAAGTATTGGATGCTCACTTGGCATCTGAAGAAATTTCCCACACAATAAATAGGCCAAGGGTGGAGACCATGTGGCCCTCCACAATGGCCTGGGCTATAAATACCTTCAGTCCTAATCATCAAAGTAAATTACTAGAAATGCTGAAGTCTGAAAATATTTGGAGGGCCAGATGATCCCCAAAAATCCAGTTGGTTGAATCTGGGAGCTACAGTTATCACAGGATTAATCAGTAACAACATGATAAACAAAGTTAGCTTTCAGTCATAAACTTAGACTACTCATCCATGAGACTTAGTGTTGCCTATACAGGTTGTGTATCCCTTATCTGAAAGTCTTGGGAAGTATTTTGGATTTTTTTGGATTTTGGAATACCTGTTTTTGCACATACATGCATCATGAAATATTTTCAAGATGGGACCTAAGTGTAAACAGAAAATTAATTGATGTTTTATATACACCTTATACACACACCTAAAGATACTGTCGTAGAATTTTTTTTTAAAAAAAAGATGTGTGTGAAAAAGATGTGTGTACATTAGACCATCAGGAAGCAAAGATGTTACTATCGCAGGAGTCCATGTAGACCAGTGGTTCTCAGCCTGTGGGTCCCCAGATGTTTTTGCCTTCAACTCCCAGAAATCCTAACAGCTGGTAAACTGACTGGGATTTCTGGGAGTTGTAGGCCAAAACACCTGGAGACCCACAGGTTGAGAACCACTGATGTAGACGTTTTTTTGGATTTTAGAGCATTATGGACTTCCAAATAAGGAATGCTCAATCTGTACTGAGTAGCCATCTAGGGTCTCAGGCAAAGATATTTTCTGGTTCATGTCTTTAGATGTTTCACCCAAAGTATTGAAGAATACATCTATACTGGAGAATTAATATAGTCTGACACCACTTTCACTGTCATGGCTCATGGCCATGGAGTCATGGGAGCTGCATTTTGACAAGGTCTTTAGGCTTCTCTTCCCAAGAATTAGTGTCTCACCAAACTACAATTCACATGCTTCCATAACATAGCATTCCATAGCAGTTCAAGTCATGTCAAACAGCATTAATTCTATAGGGTGGGTGCACCCAATGAAATTTAAAAGCAAAGTATCACAGTGGGAAGAGGTGACCAAAAAGGACTGGAAACAATGCAGTAGAATGGAAGGAAAAAGGAAGAGGGGCCGACCAAGGGTAAGATGGGTGGATGTTATCCTTGAAGTGACTGGCTTGACCTTGAAGGAGCTGGGGGTGGTGACTGCCGACAGGGAGCTCTGGTGTGGCCGGGCCATGAGGTCATGAAGAGTTGGAAATGACTGAACGAATAAACAAAACAATGCAGTAGCCAGATAAGCTCTTAATATCCTGACCTTTTTCCTGCTGGCTCTCCAGCTATAATATTTTTTTAATGTGACTATGTATTTAAAATTCTGAGAGAATATACAAAGGGGAGTGATAGTTTTGCCATGTCAACTTGCTCCCCGAACTGAGGTACACGTTATTATAATAAAGCAGCTTTCAGCAGTAAAAGGCACAATGAAAGCCATGAGCCATGAGGTCAGGTATTGCTTATTCTGAGAAATAAAGATCTGCCACCCTTCTCATCTTGCTGGGCCATTAATGGAAGCTCTGGCATGTTTAACCAAAAGAGTGGCATGGAACAGAAAAACAAATTAAAATAAAATAGATGGAACCCTTGGGAAGACACGCCAAATTAACTGTCAGAAGTTACAAGACTTTTTGTGAGGACTTTGTCGTCTTCCTTTCTTTAATTTAAAATAAAAGGTATTTCGGGAATAAGGCATTAAAATACCTTTTCCAGCCCTTGCCTTTTTTACACAGTCCAATTCCCTGACAATGCATGTTTAGTGGCAAGATCATGATTGGTAGCACATTCTTGCAGCCGTAAAATAAAATATTTTTTACTATTCTAGACAGTAAAAGTCTACTTAAAACGTTAAGTGATTCCATCTGTTATCAAGTCAGCATAAACTCCCCCAGCGGGCTCATCAGGTTGGATGCTTTGGTGTGACTTTATTTAAAGCAAGTGTGTGGTATTTGTGCATCTCCGAAGGAGGAAGACGGTTTCCAGATTATAACTGTGATTCCGGATAATCACTGGCAATTAAGAAAGGACTGGGTACATGGCAGCTGCGTTGGAAACATCAAATGGTTGAAGCGTGCACCCTGAATCCTGCTAACACGATAAATATACTCTAGGAACCCCAAAATAGTCATCTTTTCAAATTTATTATTCAGTTAGTAAATACCATCTAGATGGATTTTGTTGGAGGATTTTCAGTTATTTAGGTCCAACATGGGATTGTTGTCTACTTGGACGTTATAACCTGAACTCACCATGGGTTGTTGTAGGTTTTCCGAGCTATATGGCCATGTTCTAGAGGCTATCTCCATGATGTTTCTCCACTTCATATTGGGTTAATCCAATTTGTAATTGCATTAGTACAGTGGTTCTCAACCTGTGAAGGCCCAGATGTTTTGGCCTTCAACTCCCAGAAATCCTAACAGCTGGTAAACTGGCTGGGAATTCTGAGAGTTGGAGGCCAAAACACCTGGAGACCCACAGGTTGAGAACCACTGCATTAGTAGAAGTCCAGGGATGTTCTGGAGTTTGCTTGAAACTCTGGAATATTGTCACAGCTTCATGGGCAGCGAGATTGGATTTGATTAGGACAGGTCTGCTGTCTACATGAGGCACTGTCACCATCCTCTTTTCCCTGTGTTCTTCACTGCAGGGAAAAAGGGGAGGGGATGGTGATAGAGCCTGTGTTGTCTGCAGCAGAGCTCCATATGGGCTCCTCGCTATTGTGGGTGCCTAGAGCTGAGCATCATTAGAAGTTCCTGAACAACTATGAAGCCAATGGAGAGATCGATCCCCTCTGTCTTCCTGCTCATGTGGGCACCTACAGATGTCAGCATGAAGAGTCCACAATGGCCAGAAGCATACATGAAGCTCTTGGGAGTGCCAACAGCTACATGGATGGTGAGGTGTGGTCCAGCAGGGCTAATGTGGTGTCAACCCAGTTGGACCATGTAGATTCTGATCCACCATGATTTCAGGAGGGTACATACAGTGCCTTTGGGGACAGTCTGGAGCATTTCTGCCCTGGATTTACTGACCAGTTTAGACCCAGCCTTGGTGACTGAAAAGGCGCATTCCAGCAGTTGCTTTCACATCCTTCTCAGTTACAACATCCAGGAGGACAGCAATGACAGCGAGATCCAGGGGCCTTTTCACACTATGCTATTACAGTGATATGGTTCTACTTTCTCATAGGAATGTGAAAATACAATTGCTACCAAGATGATGTGAAAAGTAATCCTATGGATTTGCTGTATTTTTTAATTTCCAGGTGGGGTGTACTTAAATATCTTGGAAAAGAGGGCTGGATAGCCATCTGGCAGGGGTGATTTGAATGCACTATTCCTGTTTCTTGGCAGGGGGTTGGACTGGATGGCCCATGAGGTCTCTTCCAACTCTTTGATTCTATGATTCTATGATTCTATGACCACATTATGAGTCAAAACGCTCAGACAATGAAGTCACAGCCCTGAGTTTACAGGACCAGAGCAGAGCATTAAAACATCATGACTTGGGAGTTTTCTCATTCAAAGTCAAAGTCAACTTGAGGGCAGTTATCCACAACTTGGAATCATCATCCAGAGAGCTCTAGTTCAGTGCTTCTGAACCTGTGGTTCTCCAGGTATTTTGGTCTACAGCTTCCAGAAATCCCAGCAAGCTTATCAGCTGTTAGGATTTCTGGGAGCTGAAGGCCAAAACATCTGGGGACCCGCAGGTTGAGAACCACTGCTCTAGTGCCTTACCAGACTACACGTTCCAGGATTCCATAAGGCGGGCCATGGGAGTTAAGGAGTGCTACAATTGTGTAAGATGGAAGGGCCTAAGAGGTAATACATGTAAGCATGCAAGTTTTACCCAGATGCTGGCCATTAATTATCCATTTTTTTGTTTAAGAGAAAAGTACATAATCAAGTAATTGTGAGCGTTTTATATTGTTTAGGCCATTTCTAAAGTGAAAAATGGGTAAGTGATTGTAAGAATCATGTCCAATCATTGGATGGCCAGCAACGATCAATCCACCTGTGGGAGTTGAAGTACTACTAATACAGACTAAGTACATTGTGTTACTAGAGGCTGGATCGAGGCTGGAAATAGGTTGGAGAAAGGTTGAAGATTGGAGAGAGAGTTTGGAGCCCAAGGCTGGAGTTGCCGGAGGTGTATTATTGCTACAACGTCTGAAGAGCAAGACTGTGGCATCTTATCTGGAGATAAGGACTTTGTGTTTACAAGCCATTGTGTGGAAGCAGCTGGATATTCCAAGGACTCCACTTTTGTAAATAACTTTATATAAATATTTCTTTGCTAAAAGACAGTTTGTTTCTGTTGGTTTTTTTTCTCCTTGGATGAAGGGGCGCAACTTCTGCAGAAAGGGTTGAATGTTTGGAACCCCAATTTGATAGCTGTGACAGTAATGGCTGTGCAATTCTTGCATGAAATCAACAAT